GAACGACCCGGCCCAGCTCTCGGCCGCGGAAAAAAAAATAGAGTAGAACCATTTCTAGGCGGATGAATTTGGTCACTCCTGCCCGTACGTTTCCTAAAATTGTGGCAGCTTGTTAACCGGCACGACTTTAGGTAATACTGCAGTGGTTTACCCTTACTTATGCCAAATCCTACATTCCAAATGACGTTATGACCAAACCGATCCGAAACTTAACTGTCCTGTTACGCCTATCATCCTTGTGCAGGGCCCATGCTAATCTTCTCTGTATCGTTCCAAGTTCGACGGATGTCCCAAACGACTCCCTTCGATTGGTGGGGAGTGCCATCTGCTGGAGAACGGGTCCAGCGTCCCACATACAGAACGGTTTTGAGCTTGTGTGAGGAGTGTAAGAAACGAAACGACTCCCAACCACCTTCTTCCCTTCCTTCATTCTTTCTTTTTCATTTTTCAAAACTTTTCCGCGAAGAAAAGGCCAAACACAGGGCTACAATCCTCACCATCTTGACCATTATGGTCATCCTGATAACGTCCACAGCATCCAAGGCCCCTTTCATGCATAGTATGTTTCCCGAGGCCCTTTTTCTTTTCTCTGCCTTCATTCTTGTTTTCCTTTTCCTGACCAACACCTGGGAGAGGTGGGTGTTTCTCGCAGTCCCCACTAGCCCGCCGCATTCAGGGCATACTCACACGGGGACCTATATTCCCAAAATCCCAAAAACAAGGGGAAAAGGCCGGTCACACGGATCTCCCAAATTCGCAAATGTACTATTCCTGTGCCCATTTGTCAGCGGCCTGGAAAGCCGCGGGGCAAGGGATTTTCCGGTCACCTCTGGGGCGAGGTCCCACTAGCAACGGGATAGGGTAGGAACGGGTTTGTGGGGCAGTTGAGTGACCCAAATCCTGCCGTGCAGTACTCGTGATCCCAGGGCCAGTATTTTACATGTATTACCCGAAAAAGTAAGAGATCTTCGTTCCCCTCCTTCTCTCCTTAACACTGGGCATGCCCGTGCAAAGACAGCTTCCCGCCAGAATCTTTTCAATCGGTTGGGGGTGTGGCCAACCCCAAACGAGGTCGGGGTCGGCCTTAGCCCACTGGATAGAAGATTTTCAGCATTTTACTTGCTGTTGTGCAGTTATCTCATCGGGTGGAGCCCTCCTTCAATCACGGAGTATATGGAGGGTGTCCGGATCACTGCTGACAGAAGTGGAGTTTATTCCAGGAAATGTGGCAGTTACTTTGTTCGCTGTTGTTGGATCACTGCTGACAGAAGTGGAGTTTATTCCAGGAAATGTGGCAGTTACTTTGTTCACTGTTGTTGCAACCACCAGCATCAGATCATCTGTGATCTGATGGATGGGAAGCACTCTACCGTGATTTCCGGTGGCAGGTCTCTGTTTCTTTTTTTTTTTTCCTTTCTCCTATTTTCTCAGCCCAGAAATTCGTAATCAACCTGCCACCCCGCTGCCACTCAGTGTCACACTGGATCGGCCACACTCCTATCCCACTGCTAATGGGACCTCGCCCCTGGAGGTGACCACAAATGCCCTATTTCATTTTTCGTATTTTCTTCAAAAATTGGCAAAAATTCGTTCACAAAAGTTCTTGCACAATTTCTGGATGGCCCCGTGTGACCAGCCAAGTACCAAATCCCCATTTCTCCAGACGGCCTCGCCCTTGTCCCATCTGAAAAGGTACAGCAGTGTAACCACGCCCAAAACCTCAAATGGGCCCAAAACCTCAAATGGGCATATTTTGCGGATTTGGGGTTGCAGTGTGAGTATGCCCTCAGTTGGACGAATATGCGACCGTCTTTCCCCTGAACATAACGCACCCTAAAAATGAATGTATACCAGCTATATTTGCGGCCAGATACAGCCAAAATGAGGGTGCGTTGTGTTCCAGGGAAGACCGTAGTCACTTCCAGCCACATTTCGTTTGGTGTGGCCCAGGTGATTGATTCACGTAATCAATTCCCAAATCTCTGGAAGTTGGTGGGCCGTATATTGTGGCTGGCTGTAAGGTTCATTTTTTTTTTATTTTTTTTTTATTATTATTATTTTTTTTCCTCGTTGGAGGCTTGAGCACGGATGTGGCTGCTACGGGGTTCCCCGTAATACTATAATGACAATAAAAAAAGGCCTGAAAGGCCGTCCTGTCCAGATTTGACAGGTAATTGAATTGGTTGGGCTTAAAGATTTAGCCTTTAAAAAAAAAAAAAAAGGTTCAAATTTCAAACCGTCCGGCCGAGGAAATTGATACCTGTGATCGATATCTGTATTTCTTTTTTTCTTTTTTCTTTTTTGATATCTGTATTTCTGCCAGTCGGTAGGCTTTATAATATGGCCTGGTAAGAGGTTCAGATTTCCAATCGCCACGACTGATGACTGCTCCCCTTTGTCGACGACCAGCATTTACCAGCTATAAAATAAATAAAATAATGACAAAAAGTGCTGGCCAGCACACCGCCTGACCACTTGCGCAACCATCATGATAGACTACACCGCCCACCCCTTTTTCTTTTTTTTTTTTCCTTTTTTTGAAATCTGGGGTACACCACCCACCTCAAGTGACGATGTGGAGCATTTTCGGCCTCAGCTTCTAGGTTTGAAATTTGAAGTTGAGCTCGAGGTTTATCTTTGAGCTTTGCTCGACCACACAATTACACCGAGGCTGATGTGGCACATTCTGTCCATGACCTTTTTTTTTTTTTTTTTTTTTTTTTTT